GTACCCAAAATTGTCTCCGACTACTCGACTCCGACTCCACAGCCCTGGTGGAAAGTATGCATGCAGCTTCTAAAACAGTTGAGATGCAGTATTCATTACTGAGTTTAACTATTGATTATGAAATGTATGAAATGTAGGTAGTAACTACAGTCCATAATAAATTATCACACTCAGTAGTTTCAGAAAATGCTTACCCTCTGCACCTTTACTAACAGTATAGCCTAATATAATTTACTTGTACAAAAATCAATAGGCTAGTTATAATACTCACCCCTTCGTTTTCTTCCAGCCATGAATTTGGAACCACTTGGACAGCTTCCTCATCTATGAATTCAACCACTATGAAGCCTGATTTCTCCATTTTGTAAAGTACAATCCAATATTACCTGAAATTCATGAAGAAGTTGATAAAACTGGACTTTTAATATATGTAACTACATGTAACTACTCCCACCACATCTGGAACATTGAACTTAATGTAGATTATGTACCTGTACAAGACATGTAGATGTTATTAGTATTGTGGTGCAGGTACTGGACATGGCAACAGCATGGTAATAATGAGGCCAGACAACTGCAGCCAAAGCACAAAAATGGCTTTATCTGATATATACTGTACCAGTCACACTTACAACACATACACTGCCCATCATGTTGGCTGCCCTGACTACTTACAATCCACAGGATGGGTGCACACACACACACACACACACACACACTATTTACAACAGATAACGTTAAACACTATATCTAACATTACTGAAGACAATGACAACACAATACATGATAACACACAGCTATTTACACTATTACACTTGGCATTAGCCCAGCATGTCACTTGATGGGTACCCTCAAAGCTGCAATATATAGATTCTGACATGCACTTCCTGTTTATAGGTCATGCAGAATGGCCATAAATATAATTTTCTGGTGTCTCCGTTCAATCAGTATTGCCCTTCTTTTAAGTTAATCCTTTTTTAAGATTTCAATGTGAGAGTTTTTTGTGTTCACAGAGTATACCCCAATTAATCGCGAATCACATGGTTCTTTGAAGAAAGCATCTCCACCTTCATAGACTCTGCACATGACATCTTGCTGTGGGTCCTCATTTGGGCTGGATATAATTTCACAACTTAAACTGTCTAAAAGAAAAGCATTATTTGGCCTTTTTGATGAAATTTTGCGATCGGGTGTCTTTTTACAAATGACGTCATCGACTTCAGCAAGCCGTTTTACCACCTGAGAGAGTGGATTCTTTCCGGAACGCACTAGCCTTTTCAACTTCTGCAGATAATTTTCAAATGGAAAAGCACTGCACTGATCCAGGCTCCCATATCTTTCAGCATCTTGTCCAATATGAAGCATGCTGTGCACATTATAAACAATGAACTCAGGACCATACAAAATACGACTCTGGGAGACAAAGTATTGCAGCGACTCCTCAGCATACTCCCTTAGTCGAGGGTATTGTACTAATTTGCCATACACAAGTATTGACATACCTACGCTAAGGGACATGAAGTGATCGTATAAATCAATATGCCTTTCAAAACGAGTTTTCCCGTGTATAGGAGAAACTGTCTATATTCTGTAGCCTTCCATCTATCTAATTCCTGAAGGCCTCTTGGTTTCCTGGCAAAGACTGAAGGGATTGATTGTTGCAGATTTGTTAACCTTTGGCTTACTTCTGCAGCTTGACCTGCAGACATCTTCACTTCCTTTTTACCTCTTATCCACAACAGTAACAGTCTCTTCATAACACCAAGGCATGCTTGGTGCATATAGTCAACTGGAAAGTTATAAACCATATAAATAGATGCAAGACACAGAATGGAATCTCCATTGTGGTGTTCTTTATGTTGCTTCGTTCTAAAGCTGTTGTCTGTGCGCAGGATCAAGTTTTCTACCTCTTGATAAGTCATCCCACCAAGCCACTTCCCTATCTGTGTACACCTGTCACAGCCATAGTAGCCTGAATAAAGTTTTGTGGCTTTCACCATGGCTTTGGCAGGAGCATTACACACAATACAACGAAGCTTGACATTAATATGTCTGCTGTCATGAATGATCCCATGCTGTAACAAATCCTCCAATTCAGTAACTGTATCTCTCATAAATTCCAAGTCAGATGCCCTGGAAGAACAATATGTAAGGGCAACAGGAAATATAATAAAATTTTCCAAATGCACTGCACAAAGGATTGGCCATAAACATTTGAAACTACTTTTAAAAAGTGGTAAGCCATCAATGTTAAGTGATATCTCTATGGTACACTGATCATCAGGTAGGGCAGTTGTCTGTGAGATGTGTTTTGCTAATCTTTCTTTAAAACCAATATAAATGTATTTCATGCCAGACTTGTTTTCTATGTCAATATGTTGGATACTTCCAATGAGTGTTCTTGCTGTTGATGGCAAATCATTATGTCCATGGTTTTTTAGTATTTTTAGCAAATCATCCACTGAATTATGCCTAACTCCAAATTTGCCAACCCACTTCCTAAGATCACTTGCAAGTGTGG